TAATTTTTTTTTTAATCAGACTTTTTCCAAGCATAGTTTCTCTTCCTTTATCATGTGTTCTTAGCATTTAAAACATTCCTCAACAGTACAAAAAAGATAATATATTTTTTAGACAGCAAATCTAGCCACCACAGTTATTTTTAATAATCTTTCAAGTTTAGTTCTTCTCCATACACTCATCTTCTGAAAGGAAAAGAACCTAAGTTTTGAGAGAATTAAAAAAACCCCTGTATTTGCACTACCTATGACAATGGAAGATTTGAAGTTTAAATACCCCTGGTTGAGTAAGTTACACTTCTTTGAATTACGGATTATCAAGTCTAAACATACACATAAAACTACAAAAAAGCAGTATTTGGCCTGAAGTGTTAAATTCACTACTTGAAATAACTAGAGCTCTGATAAGGAAAAGGGCTGTAAAACACTAACCTTAATCTTGTTCCACTACCCCATGCAGTCTAGTTATGCCCACACCGACAGATCTATACTGAAAACTACTCTCTTACGACAGCTTGACAAACAGTCAAAGGGGTCTCTCTCTTTGGGGAGATTTGCAATAACACGGCAGTACTTTATAGTATAGTAGTAGGCTGTAGTTAACCGAGTAGGAACAGTACAAGAAAAAAAGGAGTATATGTACAGATCCATATTTGTAAAGCAAAACCAGTGTAGTTACTCCAGTAAATCCCCCTGTATATGAACCTGAAGCTATAGAAAAAAATTGTGTTGACACTGCTTATGAAAAGTTGTAAAATGTCTTTTGTATATATAATTCTCTTTTCTCAAAGCAACGATGTAAGATTTTTTTTTTTTTTTTTTTTTTACACACAAATGATGCTTGTGAGACTAATATAGCTATGCAATTTATTCTGTACTTAAATTTTTCTTATTCAGCAGAAGCATAAGGGCTTTTTTGTCTTCAAGACTTAGTTGACAACCCACTCTTTAGTTGAAAGAGTTAACGACTTTGCTGGGAAGTGCATTTACTGAAACGGTAATGGCAAGTCAGTCTGCTGGTCAGTGGTCACCTTGGCATTCCATGGTAATTTCACTTTGCAGTTATGAAGTTTTGCACTAGATTTGGGGTTCTTCAGGGAAACATACCTGCATATTTACATATGACGGCTGCGGAGCTAGACGTGCTCTTTCAGAGTTCTGCTGTGCAGCTGCTGCTCGCTCTGCTGCCCGTTCACTTCCAGGAGCCTTTTTATCAGCCATGGGACTTTCAGAAGCACTTAACTCTGCTTCTGACAGCAGCCTCTCTGTGGTACTGCAGGAGCAAAGTCAGTATTAACTCCAGTCTTCTTTTTCACAAGCAGTGAACATTCAATGCAATTTTGATAATCGAGCTTTACCCTGAGGAGTTTGGCAGCCAAATTCAAGAAATGCCAGTACACAAACATCTCAGTGTTTTTAGCAATATTTCCAAAGTCTCAGCTTCCCTTTACCTGTTTCTCTGTCAGTGAAACAAAGCACACATTGCTGCTTCCTATATTATCAAGTATGAGGCATAGTTTATAGATTCAGGTTTGAGCTGTCTGGTATCTGGAATTATCACATGCAATCCCTACACAGTGTGACTTCATACCTTTTAGCCTTGCTCAGCCAGCAGGTTTAACATTGACAGTAGTAGGATAAAGAGACACGCATAATGGGGACTAAGAAAGTTAACATCGGTCCTACTTGCTTTTAAAGCTTCAGTAATTGCAGTCCTACATGCCAAAGCCCCTCTTAACGTAATCTTTTCTTTCTAAAAATTAGCCACATTTTATGCCTACTCTAGAAGAGTATAAACTCTTACTTCAAAGCAAAGTGACCATGTTTTAGATGCTGTAGACTACCCCAGAAAAATGCCCTAAGGAAACTGTGAACACTACATCCTCAACAAAAAGAACAAGACATACAAACAACTGTGACATACAAACAACTGAGTCTGGTTAAGCAGGAACCCTTGGATTTCTAAACTCTGAGAGCAGAATTAATGAAATACATATTATAGCTTTAACAGTGTATATAAATCAGGTAAGAGAAAATATGCATCTCAAAAGAGTGATGATAAACAGTTCCCAAAAGGAACAGTGAAAACACTACTTAAAGTAGATTGGCTAAAACATTGCATTAAGCACAAAACCTGTGTTGCCAAGACATATTATGACTCAAAAGAGCCTTTCCCACTGCTGGCTCATTAAAAAAACCCAAACAAACAAAAAATCATTGAGACAAGTGTTTGAGAACATGCTGTTATGCCCCGAATATTGTTTTTCTAAGAGAACAGCCTCAAGTACACACAAAAGGAAAAAGGCTGTCAGTTAGAAGTTGTTCTCAAAGCAATCAATAAAAAAAAAGGAAAGTGTAACAAATGTATCCTTTAGAAATAGGTAATGAAACTTACTCTGAAAAAAAATCCCCACTCTTTTGTGGGAGAGGAAAGGCATTTATTTTTTTCAAACCAAAGAAAAATACTTAAGATGTACAAAAAGCATTCGAAGTTTGCAATTATCAGACAAACTGGGGAGGTTATTAATGCCCAATGTGATGAAAAATCAAGTCCAATTTAAATCAGCTCTTTGAGTATCTTATGACTGAACCACACCTTCTACCTACAAAAACATGTTAAGTATTTTTGCACGGCGAAAGTTCCATTAATCTGTATTTGCACATTTAACTTACTGTAAATGAGAGTTTTTGGTGCCTTGCAGTAATTCAACCGTTTGTCTCTTAGAACAGGCCTGTTTGGAAGAGCTCATCATCTGCTTCAGATCACTGGTATTTGCTGAATGGGATGGACTTCTTGGCATGCCCACTTCTACAAAAGCATCATTGCAACCTACAAGACCAATGAAGAGAATAGTTAAACAAAACCCTCATGTTCTAGTGAAGTTACTGAAGGAATGACAACTATAGAACAAAACCTGCTCTTCCTCCTTACAGAATTATTCTAGTCTTCAGGGATAACAACTTGGTCAGAAATGTAAGTTCAAATGCACAAAAAAGGTGCTAGTATTCACATATATAGTAGACACACTAAGCATCTTTTTTAAAAAAAAAATATTTTAAGTGATATTAGTTAATATTAAATCTGAAGACTGACAATCAGAAGTGACTAAGTATTTCAAACAAATTTGATTTTATATCCAGTTTTAATAAGCTTTGCCAGGTGCTCAGATAACTTTTGCTGAAATAAAAGCTCCCCTCTTAATGTTCAGGTATCTTTAGCATGTGTTTTTACAAATATTTATCACCTTAATTGGGCAATGTACCTTTTATTCAAATCAGCATTTCAAACGACCACAACCCTTAATAAAAGAGCATCTCCTTGTTGATCAGTATTTGCAAGGGAAACAAGGCCTTTACACATATTTGCTCAAGTTTGAAGTGGAACTGGCTTTCCCTCCCTCCAAGAATGACAGGAACAGTTCATTAGTTCCTTTAGCTCCTAAAAGGCAGCATAACTGAAATGTTGTCATAAAACATGTAAATAAATTCTGTTTGCCAGTGTCATCTAGGTTTGATCTACACATAATTTTATGCAATAACCTTCTCAAAGGCATTAAATCTTTCCTTGCATTAAAAAAATACGTCATTTAAACCAGCAGAGATTGTTTTAAGCAATGAAGTTAAGCTGCTGCAAAACATACTAAAATTTTCATAGGTTATTTCCCTCTGCTCTTAGGGAATAAATAAAATGTTACAAGCGCATTTATGTTGACTTAAGGTGTTTCTATCAACAGTACAGCTCAGATACTACACCTTCTATTTACTTTCTTTGAAAACAAATCTGGGACATCCAGCGATATTTTCCTTCAACATGGCTGCAAAACCAACGCACAGGCAATATATTTACATTTTTGTTTCATGAACTGTACATAGACTGCACAAACACTACCAGACAAAAGAATAAAATATCAGAATTTTACCTTCTGCACTATTTGACTTGGCAGCTACTTGTTCTGAGGCACCATGAGTACTTGTTTGTCTTACCGGATCACTGTGGTTTGTGCTCAACACATTTTCTCCTAGCGATGTGGCAGACAGTGCAGCATACTTGATATTTGAGGTCTGAAATGATTGTCAAAAATCACTAAAGTGATTGTTATGCTTAAGGAAATGTTGAAAGAATTTCCCTTTTCTATCTGTGCAGGAGAACAAGAAATTAATTCCTGATATAGGAGAACAATATGCTTGAATGTTCCATTTTTCAATCTTTAAGTCGTATTTTGAAAACACCACTGTTCAATTTCTAAAATTAGTAGCTTTAAGAATCTACTAATGTAGCTAGTTTTCTCTTTCAGCTCTTCTTAGTAGAGGTTTATTACAAACAGAGCTGGTTCTCCAGAGGTAACATCATATCACCTACCTTTACATGACCATTTAAAGAAGGTGAGCCTTTTTTACTCTCTGATTGCATGCCGTTCACATGGACTTCAACAGGAGTCAAGCCTGGTGGTGGAGAGGGAGTGTTCTGACTGTAACTAGGTACTCCAGACAACAGAATACTAGTTAAAGTTGCTTGGGCAGTAGACGGTATCATTAGGTGGGGAATAGCAGAAAAACCTGTAACAAAATTCGGTTATGTTCTGATTAAGTTTCTCATTTAACTTTCTCAAGTACTATAGTGCTTTATATAAATCTCTACGTGGCTTTGATACATCACTAAACAAGTTTCCATTAGAATTGCATGCCAAAAACATAATGCTTTATCTAACCATTACTTTGTAGGTTAACATAGTTTCCTATATAAAACAGATCAAAACATTGCATGTGACAGCATGTCATAAGCTTATATTATAAATTTGGATACTTATCGATCTGTGTTAAGATAAACTTAAGAAATTATTAAGACTCTAAAGAATGAATGATTCTGGACTTTTCAATAGTCATTCTAACAACTTACTGTTGCACAACTAATTTAATTTACATTTAACTTCTACCAACCTGTGGCATTCGCGTTAGCAAGAGATGTTGCCCATAACGTGGGACTAGGCGTGCCTGAACTTGGACTCTGTAAGGGACTCACAGAGCTATTGAGGGCATTCAGCAGAGAGTTTGGAGCAGTTGAGGTGTTGACTGACAGGGCTGTTGGACCTAAAAGGCCTGCAAAAAATGATACAAGCGAATATTTAGTTAAGACTTACAGAAAAACATTTTTACAAGAGTACCAATTAAACAAAAACCCACTAAATTGCACCAGCATGTATTTTACAAACAAATTTTAACATTAAACCTGCTGTTAATTTCGTGCAGAGAACACATTAAGAACAAGCATTCTTAAACTGGGAATCATATATTCAAGAAGAATTGCAGCATCTCATGTCCTTCTACTGGACTCTAACTATTGTCAGAACAACGATTCTGCACTGGCTGCTTCTCAGCCCCACCATCCCTCTGTATCCCCTTCATCACTTCTGTCAGTTTGTTTCAAAGAAGCATCACTTAGAGAACAAGCAAGCAACTGCACTGCACAACCTTACTTTCATTTCAGACAATAACCTTTTTCTCAGAAGCTCATATGAAAGAACCACTGCTTCCACACTAACTGTTCAATTCCTTTTTGCATCTTCAATACTGACTGCAAATCATCCCCCAAATGCATTGCTTATTCCCAAAGCATTCTCTCAAACCAGCTCTTCATGTAAAAGCATTCACAAGGCAGTTCAGCACTATACTCTAAAGAGGTAAAGACACAACCCCAAAGTGCAGGCATGACAAGAACGGTAACAAAAGCAGCATTAAAAAAAAAAATCACAGTCAAATGGCACAAACACTTGCCCCCGTGTGACCCCCAAGAAAGCATCTGACATGGAACTACACAGCACTCCTGGATGGCAGGTCGCAAGGGAGCATGGTGGTTACATGAGAACTCCGAGTTTCAAGAACCAGTGTCAAGATTTGTCACCAAATTCTTCTGAGACTGCTTGGTTTTCTACACAGTTCTGATAATAGGGTATTTGCAGAGCTTGAAAATAAAATGGTAATTCCAGTCTGGACTATGCGCTTCTACAAGATTACATTAAGATAGAAAGCTTACACATTACTTATCAGTATGAAATTTAGGATAGGAAGGTCTAAACTAGTAGCACGTGCATCCCTCAATCACAGTGAGATACAGCCAGAACTGAAATGTGGTGTTAGCTATGTTAACTTTCATGGTACTGTTGACAGGTTTAAGTACCTACTCAAATTCAGGACAGCCTGAGACATTGCAATATTACCAAAGAAGAAATTTCATTTGAAAGAGATTCTTCTGAAAGTTGTAAAAGCAATGTCCTACTTCACCTGTATTTCCCCCCCTTTCACTTCCAACCGAGTGGTTTGCGAGCTTCCAGGGGATTTTCTACAGAGATGAGTCACACGGCTGATTGTGAAAGCCTTGGAGGAAGTTTTACAACAACAAGCCCTTGAAAGGCCAGATGCTTTTGGAATTCTCTAATGCTTTAACATGATTCCTTATGCAAAATACACATCTGGTCCTTTTTTCTAGTACAAGTGAATTAAGTTTCAAACAAATATGTATCTATAGAAAAAATATAAAGATATATATAGAATAGAATACATACCAAGCCCAGTGAGTCCTAGTCCTGCTGAGGACAAGATATCCAAACCAGGACAAGACAGACCAACAGGGCATGAGACAGAGGGATTTGATGCTACGGTAACTCCACTACTTTCAAGTCCCAAGAGACATTTCCGTGCCTCATACATATTTAAGGCATTTCGTTCAACACTTTTTACAATCACAGACTGTAGGGAAAGAAAACAAAAAACAACAAAAAAGGAAAACCAATGAGTAACACAACTATATAACATGAATCTACAACACACACCTCTTAACACTCCCTCATGGCTATCAGTAACAGCAGTGTGAGACAGCATGAGATAATGTCCATTAGCAACTACTCAAATTCAGTGGCTTTGACACTAAGTTTAGGGATTTTGTATGCACTTTGACAATGAGAATGATGAAAGCCCTTTCTGTCTAAGAAAAACAATTATTATTGTACCTTGGTGCTATGTGGTATACCAAATCTTAAGTGCCCCAAGATCTAGAAGTGAACCAATAACTAAAATCTTATCTTCTATCAGAGGTCTATACCTCAAAGTGGACAAAAAAGTTGTTCACACTAAATTCAGCTATTAAATTCATAGCTGTCTGAGAATAAACAAACAAATGCCTAGAAAATTAAATTATGAAAAACATTGTTTCCTGTACATTGTCTACACGATGTTTCTTTGTATTGATTTTATATATTCCTACACAAAGAAGCTTACTTATTGACACAATGGAATGGTCATTTAATATTTTGAAATTTTTGTTTGTTATGGTGTTAGATACAACCATGCAGATAACAGAGTCTCCTATCCATACTTGCTTGAATATTTTACAATGAACATCTCCCATTAGAGGTATTTTGTAATTCTGTTTCTTGTGGTTCTTTTCAACATCTTGTGTAGAACACAGTCAGACTTTTCTCATATTATTTGGTTGGGGTTTTTTGTTTGTTTGTATTTTCTGTTGTTTTTGTTTAATTCTGATTGCTAAAGAACACTGCAGTTACATGGGGGAGCTGCAATTTAAGACGAATTTCTCTAAAAACAAATCAAGAGTAGTTCTAGTCAGATACAATTTATCTCCTCATAGTTTATTTCTTTTATCAGTATCTTCCATACAAAAGCTAATCTCTGTATTGTCAAATATTTAATGAAAAAGTCAAATTACCATAAAGGAGAGCTGTTATAACATTTAAATTGATATTTCAAGCAGAAAATATATGCCTTTCACAAGTTTATGATCCATTAAGTTAGGGAGGAGGAGCAGACATGTCAACTCATCAGCTCTGAAAAGTTGTCATGAAAGCATAAAAAGAATATATTAGCTTTTCACCAACCTTGCTTGGTTGCTTTGGCTTCGGCTTAATGCTTATGAAGACATCTAACTGCTCCATTAGCTGTGTTATAAACTGTGGTTCTACTTCAATTTCTTCCTTCATATCAAACATGAGCACAAGAGGAAGGCAACCCTGAAAAGACAAGATGCAAAGATTCATAAAACTTATAACCTACCCTTTTCCCATGAAAACGTTAGCAATAAACTGAAATACAGAGATTGTAACACATGTACATCATGATACAGTAAGTTCAGAAAAAATAGCAAGGATGAAATTTTAAGTAAAGCCATTTCCTTGTATGCAAGAATACAGGTGTATCTTTCTACCCTGGGATTCTGAACAAACAATTTGGTGGTATAAGGGTGAAATGATTTGTTGAATATTGACATTCCGATCAGCACATATGCACCCTACATTAGCTAGTTATACAGACTTAGAGGTGTCTGGAGGATTCAAATTCAGAAACCACTATTACCTATTAAATCAGCACAAAATATTGTCAGGAATTGATAGCAGGACTCTCACGTACTCCAATGGCTCACGTTAAACTATGTTTCAGATAAGGAAACACAATTCTGAAAAAAATTCTCTGTAAGTCACCATTGCCTAAGTCTTAACTTTTACCTTTGTCTTTCCCTGTCCTAGACCAGCTAGCTAAGTATTTTCCAGTGATATGGATGACATCTCTGAAACACTTGAAATACTAAAACTGTAAGTAAAAAAAAAAGAAAAAAAAGACCACCCCTAAAAAAAGCCCAAATCAAAAAAACAACAAAAAACTCAACGGTCACAGGCTATCTAGAAATTATTAGACTGCTACTTCTCATAAAATAACAAAAATAGAGGGTACAAAGTCAGTGAAAAACAAATCCTACTTCTTGTGAAATTAGATTCACAAGAAAGTAAACATAGTATCACATGTTATCAGGAAAAGAGCCACAGTAAGATACATTCAAGAAAGCGGTCTTACTTAATCAGTTTCCTGCTTTTGCTTCAGAATGAAAAGCAGCAAATAGGTATATTTATTCTTCAGATCACTAGTTCAATATCATTTTATATTTAAATAGCACTCCTCAACAGTACCATCTATAGCTATACAGTAATTCCCAAACTTAAAGAAATTTTAACTTAAGGAAAATTAAAGCAAGGCATCTTAACTATTTTGACTTCAGGAAGACTGACAAACACAGCTTAACTCCACAAAGTGAACGTGCCTGAAAAGAACAATTACAAATAAAGTCTATTTAAAAACACTGAAATCAATAATCAAGGATTTTACAGTAACAGAACTGCTGAAAGCATTTCATACTTGGTTGTTCCAACTGTTTTTTTACAAAACTTACAGAAAGTAATATCAGAAGGTCTCACCGAAAGCCTGCTGAATGAAAATGCAACTAAAGGTTAACAGGAAAACCAGAAACTTCAAAGTTGCAATGTCAGGTTTTATAAGCATATTAAAAGGCTCGGTTTTTACACTACTGTTTTGTTATTGTGTGTTTAGAGCACCTACATGATGATGATGATGATGATGATGATGAGAGAGGAACAGGACCAAATAATGTTCTTTGACAGGAAGTGAGTGAACAAAACTGAAGTTGTCAATGCCTTATGTAATTAAATATAGTACAGTCCTCATTATTATATGCAAAACTAAGAAAAGTAAGTCTCAGTATTTTTTAGTGTTGATCAAAATACAGACGAAACCAAAGGGTTTGGAATAAGGGGAAGACATAGAACAAGAACATTTTAAATGAGATTCCAAAACCCCGTCGGTTAGAAAAGTATTTAATTTTAAATCACTAGGTATCCTTTCTTCCTTTCACAATTTGCCCTCATCACTACTATGAGTATTGTCTTAACCACCACATTGAATATATTCCTGTAAGCAATATGCTGATGATTAGAAACTGAGACTTGCAACTCTTTTCAGAGATAAGGGATATTCACAACTCATACACCACAGAATTCATAGCCTTCTCAATGAAATTAGTTACTAGTTGATATTAAAGTTTCCATTTAGACATACTGCTAAGCAATTTTTAAAAAGAGCACCAATACATTACATATGTCCTACTGTAAGGTATCTATGCACCGCATTGCATTGTCTGTTGATATGGTAAACTCTGCCTCAAATTTAGTCTCTTACGAAAATTACAGATCACAACAGTTTAGTAGTTCAGAAAAATGATACAGTATTTCTTTTCTTGGTATTGATGTTCAGATGCTTCTAGACAGTTATTCCTAGGAGCTCTGCAGAGATCAAATCACTGTTTTTAAACCACCTCTCCAATTCCGTAGGACACTTGTGCTGCCTAGCTGAGAAACGGCATCAGCTGTTACTCTGACTGAATCAGAGGAACTGGCAGGAGGCGATAACAGTGGCCGCAGTGAGGCGGCCAGCATGCAGTCGCACCTTGCAGGAAATCTTTCTACAACACAGAAATCTCATCCCACTGAACAATGCCCAAGAACAAAACAAGTGAAGTGAAATTTACCTCAAGAGAAGCTGAGAGCGACCGCAGCTATCTATCTGTATGTAGGTATTGGCATGACTGGCATATTTAAGTGTTTTTATCTGAAGCTGAAAAATACTGTTTTTACTAAGTTAGGAATTGGAGGTAAGTTTTTATCTGGTTAGTTACTTCTTCCCTCAGCCTTTCAAATTTTTATTGTTTAAAAAGATATATTCCTTCTTTGCAAAATTTGCTTCTAAAACTTGTTTTATCTACAAACCTGGAAACAACAGTTTCACGGGACATATGGCTGTGAGTTGAAACAGACCAAGTCTCCTGGTCAGTACAGTTCTTAAAGGGTGATATAGTGCACGTGATTTGGCATACTAAGTTGTACTGATGTGTTTGGAATTACTAAATCAAACGTCAATATTTCAAAAAAATGGCCCTCGCATAATTCTAAGTTTAGAGAGTAAAGGTGTACTTCGATGTTCGTATGATAGCTTATTTGCATTTCCTTCTATTTCATGAACCTCCAGAAAAGTACTACTAAAACCTCACCAAGGAAACACATAGAATAAGGCTCTTAGTATTTACAGACAATAAATCCTAGAATATAAAAATATGAATGTAACTGTATAAACAGAAAGGCACCATATTTTTGTTTTCCACTATACAGCAAGGCACAGTGCCATGTAAGAGAGATGTGGACTTCTGGAATTTAATGGTATCATGGTTTATCCTGATACCAGCTTTGAACTGGATTTGAATCCAATCCTCCCATAAGTTGTTCGTAAATATCCACATGTATGAAAATCTGCGTACAAACATTAGTACCACAACAATGCCTAAAGGCTCCTGTAAAGCTTAAAGACCAACAAAAACCTGCATAAATAATAATATTCATCACCAGATCTATTTTTATAAAAGGCCTTATAGTACTGGGGCTACAGTACTAGAAAGAACGCGAGACTGCAGAATGAGTAAGTACTTCCTATGGTTCCCCAGTTTCCTTGAAAACTCGCCTGCATAGGAACTAAGAAATTCCTGCCACTTCCTCCCAAAAGAAACCTACTTACCTGACAAACATGGACAAGGCAGGCTAGCAAAACAAAACAAACAACCCACCACCCAACAACAACAAAACCCTCTAGAAGTCTGCCTTCTACTCAGGAGCATATTGTTATCGTAAATTTAAATTGCTTATGTTGCATTTACATTGCCAAGGTCGTTTTTCAAATCATGATACCAGAGATTACAAATATTTTAGATAACTACAAACACTCACAAAACACTGACAAAAATACAGCACTCAGCTGAATCAGCTTTTTGCAATGTGAGTAGTAATTCCTCCTCTCTAAGGCTAATTTACATTTGACCAATAAATACATGCAGAAAGAGCATATTTTCTATAACCTGGCATTTTTTTCAAGCGATTTTCACTGAAAGTATTATTTACCATGAGATATTGCCTGGCAAGACAGACAGACTCAATTGTGCCCTGGAGGTAGACAGTGGATTTCTTCTGTGGGTTACTAGGGTCAGGGAAGTGGATCTGAGCACCAGTCCTCTGCATGATATGTTTGATGTTACTGCCATTTCGACCCATCATAAAGAGATGATGCTGCGCTGCAATGTCTAGTTGTGTGCTCACAGGGATTGCAGAGGCCAGGCTCCCAGCTAGGTGTTCTAAAAGCATGGCTGTTCCTTCCTGCAGGGGAAATGCAAGAAACCGGTGAAACAGTGCTCACAGGCATACAAAACGACATTTCAGACTGTTTCCTTACTTGTCATGCATTCCACATTCAAGATAAAATTCTGTTTTGTTTAAAAACCTGATTTGTTAAACGTAATAGATGGACTAAACTCTACCTACTATTCCCATTTTATGACCAAATGCAGTGTTTAATTGCCGTTGTAAAAGGCAGTAAGACAACATCAAATGTTTTTTTCTGTGGTGGGTTTTTTGTTTTGCTTTTTTGTGTTGTGGGTTGGGTTTTTTTGGTTTG